TCCTGGAAAGAAGGCTGAGAGTGGCGGTGGCTAACAACCAGGACCCATGCCTGACAGGAGCCACCCCACAGACAGCAACCATCACCCATCAGCCGCGAGCTCCTAAGAGCTGGGCCGACATGATGGAAGATGAGTCCCCAGAATTGCCTCCCCTATTTGAGGACCTCTTTGAAGGGGAGCCTGGCGGTGAAGACACAGAGGGCAATGCCAACTCTGACCTCCTCAACCTGGACGAGATGGAGGAAGAGGAGGATGATTCCACCTTTCCTGTCCAACAGTCCAGACCCCCCAGCACATCAGATACTGCTCCACCAGTGGACAGTAATCTGTATGAGGTTTGCAAACGGGCTGCAGCAAAGTTAGGAGTACAATGGCCAGCAGCCCAGGACGCTGAGGGGACAGAGAGAGATCTGTATGATGGCAAAAGGCTCCCACCAGCCCAGCCACCATCGAAGCAACTCCTGCCGCCAGTACCAGCTTGCATGAAGGAAATGAGCCGGTACTGGTCCAGCCCATTTAGGAGTAAGCTTTCAACTAAGGGCTACTCTAAGCTGGAGATCCACGGTATGGGGAACTTGGGCTGGCCGAATCCCCAGTAGTGGAGCCTTCGGTGGCTTTTCACCTCCACCCCAACCGCCAATCTCTCTCAGCCTCCTCCACCACTTCTCTGCCCAGCAAAGCGGAGCGTCTCACTGCCTCCATTTTCCAGATCTCTCCTTTGATCTCTGTCTTCCACGGAAACCCACCCCTCGCCCCCCTCAGGGTCCAAGACCTGGCTTTGCTGCTGCGGCTGCAGCGGTGAGGGGGAGACAGTGGGGAGGCAGGCCACAGAGGCAGGCAGCTGGTCAGCAGGCAAACCAGCCTCAACAGCAGCCTCAGCCATAGGACAAACTCCTTCGCGGCACTGGCAGCAAGGAACCGCCCCCAACACCCCAGGGGTGGGAAGAGGAAGCAGGCACCCGACGACTCCAGCTTCTCCCTCCCCCCTCCCATGAAGAAAAGAAGGGAATCAGGGGTGAATCAAATCCCCGTAGTTCATGGTTCAGAGACTCTGGCAGTTTTCTGTGGTCCAGAAGGTAACACAGTGTCACCAAGTGCTTTCACCTTGTGTAGCAAAACAAAGAGGAAATCAAAACAAAGACAAATGTCCCCTCAATTCCCACAGGGGGAGCTCAGGCTCCTCTGTTGGGAGACGGATCCCACCAGTCGCGGCGAGTGACGTCACGTCAGTACGACAAAGTGAGCACGTTACCTGCCCGGGAGGCGAGGCGGCGCGCATCCGCAGTTGATCCATGGGTTTTGTCAACTATTTCTCAGGGTAACAGACTACAATTTGTTATTAAACCACCCAGATTCAATGGCGTGGTGGCTTCAGTAGCGAAAAGGGGATGCAGATCGAGTTTTACAGGACGAAATAGCATCGCTATTAAACAAACTAGCCATCAGGGCTGTCCCGAGCGAGGAAGCTCAGCAGGGATTTTACTCCTGTTACTTCCTCATTCCCAAGAAAGAGAGCTCATCCCTTCGCCCCATTTTAGATTTCTGTGTGTTAAACAGACACCTACGGAAAAACCCGTTCAGGATGCTGACACACAAGGTGCCGTCCGGGCGATTGGTTTGTTACAATCGACCTCAAGGACGCATATTTTCACATCGCCATTTATCCCGCACACAGGAAATTTCTCAGGTTTGCTTTTCAGGGCAAAGCTTACGAGTATCAGGCCATCCCCTTCGGGCTGTCATTAGCTCCCAGAGTGTTCAGCAAATGTGTGGAAGCAGCACCGTCTCCGTTAAGGAGCAGCGGTATCAGAATATTTTCATACATAGACGATTATCTGATATGCTCTCGATCGCGGGAACGAGCGGTCAGAGATTCCGCTATGGTAATAAATCCTCTCAGGGATCTCAGGTTCAATATAAACTGGGCAAAGAGCCGAGTAGAGGCCGCACAGTGCACAGAATACCTGGGTCTCAACATAAACTCTCTCTCTTATCGCATAACGCTATCAGAGGGGAGTTTAATATCTCTGACACAGTGCCTCTCCCTCTTCAGGCTGGGGAAAGTCGTGTCATTTGGACTATGCCTATGCCTGCTCGGCCTCATGGCGTCAGTGATTTCTGTTGTACATCTGGAGCTACTGATGATGAGGGATTTCCAGCGTTGGGTCTCGGCACTGCGCCTATGCCCACGCTGTCATCTCAGCCGCAGGGTGAGCATAACATCAGCATGTGTGGCGGCTGTGGAGAGACACAGCGGCTCTCGCGGCAGGGGTTCCGCTGGGTGCGGTGGCGTCCAGAGTAACCATGACAACGGACGCATCCCTGTCAGGATGGGGAGCGACCATGTTAGGCACCTATTCTCACCACCTGACGCCTGTTGGTGAGAAAGTCTCTGATCCAGTGGCACAGTGAGGTAGGCAGACCTAACCCATGTAGCTTCAGTGCCAGCTTGTCTGGAATGACGGTGTTAAAGGCTGAGCTAAAGTCTACAAATAGCATCCTAACGTAGGTGTTGGGGTGCTGCAGGTGGGTTAGGGCTGTGTGCACAGTGATGGAGACAGCATCCTCTGTTGAGCGGTTCCCTCTTTAGGCAAACTGAAGGCTGTCCAGGTCCGCAGGGATGAAGGCCCTGATGTGCCTCAGAAGTATCCGCACTTTGAAGCACTTCATGATTACCGGGGTCAGAGCAACAGGCCGGTAATCATTCATGTAGGTGACGGATCTCTTTTTTGGAATAGGTCTGATGATGGAGGACTTGAGGCACTCAGGAACCATAGCCAGCTGCAGGGACGGATTGAATGGTTGTTGTTATCGAAGTCTTCTTCAATGCGCTGTTTGTACTGGAGTTTGGCCTACTTTATTCCTCTCCCCAGTTCTGATCGAGCCCTGCTATAGGCCAGCCTATCTCCAGACCTGTAGGCAGCATCCCTGGCTTTCAGCAAGGACCATGCTGTGCTGTCCAACCATGGTTTCTGGTTGGGAAACTCTTTGATGGTCTTAACAGGAAGGACAGCATCAGTGCAGAACTGAATGTTGCACAGTACAGATGACGCGAACTTCTCCAGGTCTGCCCCTTCCCTGAACACACTCCAGTCTGTGAGCTCAAAACAGTCCTGAAGTGCAGAGGAGGCCTCCTTAGTCCAAACCTGTACTGTCCTGATAGTCGGCTTTGTTCTGCAGGCCAGAGGCTTGTAGGCAGGAATCAGCTCCACTGAGATGTGATCAGACATGCCCAGGTGTGGAGCTGCTGCAGCTTTGTAAGCTCTGGGGATATTGCAGTAAACTTGGTCCAAGATGTTATTGTCTCTGGTGGGAAAGTTTATGGACTTGTGGAATTTGGGAAACACCGCCTTCAGTTCAACGTGGTTGAAGTCTCCTGCCACAATCACAGCCGCCTCCGGGTTGGCGTTCATCTGCCCGCTGATCAGGCAGTATAACTCCTCCAATGCTAACTTAGCATTAGTCCACGGTGGTATGTAGACGGCTACTATCATTATGGACGAGAGCTCTCTCACCAGCTTGAAGGGTCTACATTTCACCGCCAGATATTCCAGATCAGGAGAGCAGAATGTTCCGACAGTGTGTGTGGCTTTACACCAGGCATTGTGTACATACAACGCCAAACCTCCGCCTCTGCTCTTACCCGAAGCTGCAGTCCTGTCCACCCGGAACAGAGAGCGCCCCGCTATCTCCACCGCTGCGTCCGGGATGTTGTCGTCCAGCCAGGTCTCCGTGACAGCGGTCACACAGCTGTCCATCCGACGAGAGACAATCCTTCTTGTCGATTTTGTTGGCGAGAGACCTGACGTTGGCGAGGAAGAGACAGGGGAGCACCGGTGTGTGGGTTAGCTTTCTCCTTTGTCGCCTTGGCAGCAGGGGGATGGTCATGGCCTCTGGAGTCCGCTGCAACTCCGCTGGAATAAAGTCCAATTTAGGGGATGTGTGGAGTCCGAACTGTACCCCAATGTCCCACAGTTCGAAGGAGATGAGTGAATACAAAGAACTCCTGCCAGAGAGGTTTTACAATGCAAAGCAGCTAGGACGATGGAAAGAAGTGTTATCATGTTGACTCCTTTGCATTATTTTATGATGTGGAATAATTCTTCCAGGCAGTGCTGCTGTAGGAGCTGCTGTTTGTGGTTGAGATCAGGAAACACACAACATGCTGGGGCTGAGTTGGTGCTCGGGCCTGGATGGACTGGAGACGTGGTGCAAATTGTGTCTCCATGAACACATCCATGTTGTAAAGATGAACACTGGATACCTGAAAGCAGGCTTAAATATTCAGTATGGTTACAGCCTGAGGATAGTGAGTTCATTCAGTTTTATTTGTTTAGCACCAAATCATAAAATAGATTATCTCAAGGCACTTTACATGGTAAAGTTGAGACCTTGTAAAATTATAGAGAAACCCAACAGTTCCCACAACCAGCAGCACTGACGACTTTGTAGAGAAAAAAAACTCTCTTCTACTAGAACTAAAAAACCTCAAGAACCAGATTCAATGTGAGCGGCCAAAGAGAAAGAGGAGAGAGAGAGACCAGGAACTATTGTCAGACTGGTTGTTGTAATGAAAATAATTTATAGATGATAGCAGTATAATAATAATAATAATACTCATCATCATCATTTCTTTCTCTTCTCTTTTCATCCTTATTTTCATGTGATCTACATATTGGATGGAATTAGAGGGGATCACAACATTAATAGATAAACATTTCAAACATCCCTGTCACAGAGGTGTCATTGGATCCATGGTGTGAGCAACACAAATATACATTCAGTCACTCACCACCTGCACAGGGGTGGAGGCAGAGACAAGTGTTGGTCCAGTATGATCAGAACTATCTGCACAGTGAGCGTTTACTGCATCTTTGCCTTTTTGCATAAAGAATGCAACAGAACACTGAATGTTCTACTGTCTGTAGAAGAGGAGGAGCTGGTGTTACATTTCCCTAAATCTGCACGAGAAAGTTTACTGTTTGTGATGAACACTGGCACAAACAGTCCACAGAGCAGCAKCATGATGGAAGGGATCTTCTTTGGTGTCTTGTGTCTCTCAGGTCAGTGAATTTCACTSTTTGTATGATGTCTAACAGGAAATCTGAATATAGAGATTCATTTGAGTCTTCATACATAACACAAATAACTGGTTTCATCCTCAGGGTGCCTCACCTTCTCCACATGCCTCCTCCATCAGTACCACTTTGTGTCTGAAGCAATGACTTGGACTGAAGCTCGGAGCTACTGCAGAGGGAGGTACACAGACCTGGCCACCATTGAAAACACTGAAGAAATGAAGAAACTTAACGACACAGTTTCTGCTGCTGGTCACAGCTCTAAGGTTTGGATTGGCCTGTACAGTCAGATTGACTGGAAGTGGTCAGATGGGTTCACAGGGAGTGGAGCAGAATATAGGAACTGGGGAAGGTCTGAGCCAAACGATTTCGATGGCGACGAGTTCAGTGTGGCCATGTGGTACAATGGAGGATGGAATGATTATTACTGCCATGAAGAGACTGCATTCGTCTGCTACAATGGTAATGATGTGTGTTATATTGATCTTTACGATACAACATAATGTATAAGATATATTTTTAAAAACATTGTGTGATCCCTCTTTTGTTCTCTAACTTAACTGCAGGAACATTAGAGGATTCTGACTTTGTGATGGTGAATACAAGAAAGAATTGCACTGAGGCTCAGAGGCACTGCAGAGAACACTACACAGATCTGGTCACTGTGAGGAACAAAACTGACAATGACAAGATACATAACTTGATGGGACATGAAGAATGGGTATGGATTGGTTTGTACAGAGATCCTCAGATCTACTGGTCCGACGGGAGTGGCTACTCATTCAGCTCCTGGAATGATGGTAGAAACATGCTTGGCTCGAAGAAAGTCGTATGTGGTGTTGCAGATTTGGAGAAGCAAGGAAAATGGAATTTCTTATTCTGTGAAGAAAGATTTCCATTTGTCTGCCACAGCATCCCAAGTGAGAAAAGTTTTCTGACAGGCCTGATCAAGCTGTCTTSTAGGCAACATGCAGCCCAGAGACCAGACGCTCTGTCCTCTGTGTTTTAAATCAAAAGTCTGAGTTGTTCTATCGCCACAGGAGGAACTGTAGGTTTCACTAAACTATACAACACATTACACCTGTGTTTTGTTTCTCTCCTCGTTCTTTGTCTGAGCAGAAGTTGAGACGTTGGTGAAGGTGAGGGTGAAGCTGCAGGACTCCTCTGTGGACCTGAATGACCGTGCTGTGAGAGAACAGATTCTGAAAAAGGCAAGTCTCCAAAATCCACCCTGAGACATTAACTCATTCATGGACCCTGGACACATGTATTACAGAGTTTGACATCATCAAATAACCATGAAGTAGATGAGTGAATGTAAAAAACTCAGCCACAGATGTTCCACAATGCAAAGCAGCCACAACAATGGAAAGAAATAGAAGAAAATGTTTGACTGGTCATGACGAAAGTGTAACTTTGTGAGCTGACGCTGTTTATGTCTCCAGAGCTGCAGGATTCAGACAAACCACAATTCTTCTTCTTCTATTATTATGATTAATATTAATATTATTGGTATTGTTTTTATTATTACATGAATTGTTGCTGCTATCACTAATAACATCTTTACATTCATAATTATCACTCTTATTGTTTTCATTATAACAACTAGTCTTTCACAGCTGAAACCTGATGGTGCACGACCTGGTCTCTCTTTCCTCCTTTCTCTCTCCGTTCTCTTCCCCTCTTTTCCACTCTCCTCTCCTCCTCCTATCTCTCTCTCTCTTCGAGCCCCTCTTTTCAACCCTCCTCTCTTTCACAGTTTTCTCTGCTCAGCCCAACCGGTGGATGTAGATGTTGCCAACATTGAGTCTGGTTCTTGAGTTTCCTTCCAGTTAATGAGGGACTTTTTTTCTCTCCACAGTCGCCAAAGTGCTGCTCACAGTGGGAACTGTTGGGTTTCTCTACAATGTTTAAGKTCTTGATCTTCTATGTAAAGTGCCTTGAGATAATGCATGTTATCACATATACGCTATATAAATCTAATTGAACTGACTAAATTAAAACATAACCCTTTTGTGGCAGTAGACCATGCCACGAGGTTCCCACCACGACAGCCAGAGACGAACCAGTCCAACCATTGGGTGCTCAGCAACATCTTTTTATTTAATGCAAACAAAACTGACAAAACACTTAACTTAAAAGGGTCCAGCACTTTCTGCTGGACCTTTAGCTTCACCCAGTCTCTTCCCCAGTGTGTGTTCCTTGAGGCAGCTCTGCTGCTGCCTTTTCAAGCATGAGGATCAATCAGCTAACAGATCTCACCTGTGCTGACTGATCCTCTGTGGTGCAGGTGAAGGGGCTGGGAGAGCACCTTTGTCTTAGGGAGCAAAGGAATCTGTTTAAAGTATTTCAAATAGCTGCCATTTGTTTTCCAGCTCCAGGAAAGATTCAACGAGAAAGGACTGAGTGGCGTCACCTTGAAGTGGAAAGAAMAGTCTGATGGGAAAGTTTTCCACAAGGAGGAAAAAGGTTCCGACAAGAAAAAAAAGACTGAGCTCTGAAATTTGAATTCAACTTTGAATGCATGCGCCAATGTTTCATGTCTACACATATAAACACCACTATCACTGTACGCAGTTAAACCATAGCAATGAATGCTGTTGTAGAAACATTAGCCTTTGTGTGCTTATATGCTTCAACTGTGCATCTGTGTATAAAGAGCATCAGGAACTGTATGCAGCCCGGGACAAATGTCTAATGAACAACAGACACAGGGAGAGTCTCCATCGGAAGGACAATGTAATTAGTTGCTAGGCAGGTTAATAATGTTACAGCTGATGATGTCTTATACTAAGGGAATGACAAAGACCCACAGCACAGGTCAAGCCCATGTCAAACAGATTTCTGGTAGCAACTGTATGCTTTCACAGGACAGCACCATATTTCCAGCATAAATAAATGTAATCATGTATGCACCCTTACTGGAATGATTGTTTGTTGCACATATATTTAGCGTGTGGAAATGTAAGAATTTTTAAAAAATGCAGAGAGACATCGCCAGAATCTAATGGAGTCTGGAGACAGGACCTTCGAAATCGAGTAAGGCCTGAAACAGAGGCTTGTGAAAGAATAAACTCTACTGCATTGAACTCTGATCATCTCCAGTGAATTCTTTTGACCAATACTGAGACTCCAGTAAAAGCAAAGTATACGTGTTGAAAAGAAGTCTAGACTTAGTATCTGGCCCTGTGTTTGACTTTTTATCTCCAACAATGCTTCCTGTAGAAGAGTCTGACCCTCATCATTAACACTGTTATTTACACTTTACAAACAAATCCTTTGTTTTCTCACTCACACGTTTGCAAGAGGGCAGCAAATATCCACAGGTTTTGAAATGATTTCTGAATAATGTCTAAAGGATTAGACTCACATTCAAACCCAGACATCCCATAAATTGACACTGATTAAGTTCAATGCTTTAAGAGACAGTCCTGAATTGTTGCAGTGTGTGCACTTGCAGCCCCATTACCCCAACATTCCATAACAGGAATGTACAAAAGGACTACATGTCAGGTTCGGGAGGTGCGTGGGGAGGGAACGAACGTGGTAGGAAAAAAGGGAAGGGAAGGACCAAAACGCAGAAACTAAATATGGTTTAACAAAAAGTGTATTTTATTTAACAGGGGTAAACGTAACAAATCTTCAGGAAACAAAAGTCGCACTCAAAAACAGGAGTGGAACACAGGAAGGGCAGGAAACAACTTGCGGGGAAACGTGACGAGAGCTGACGGGACACATGAACAGGACCTGACCAGAAACGAAATGACGAACCAACAACCACATGGGGGGAACACAAAGACTTATATATACACTTGAACTAATGAGTAACTGGGGACAGGTGGCACAAGACAAACAGGTGAACCTGATGAGGGCAGGAAGTCAACAGGTGAAAACACACAGGGAGCAAGGACTACAAAATAAAACAAGAAACACTGAACAAACTTATCAACGAGAACACAAATACAATAACCAAGACAGGGATGAACACTGGAGAGGCACAGGGTGAAACATAGCGAGGGACAAGGAGTGAAAACGTGACCAAATAAAACCATAACCGTGACATGTACACTTAACCTCTATCCCAGGCTCTGATTTTAAGAGTTGTTCTGAAAACGTTGTGAAACTGTATTGAGTTTCAATAAAAGTTTTATTTTGTTGCAGCTCTGGCTCAGTTTTTATTTAAAGGTGAAGAGAATCTAACGCAATGTTGATGAATTTTGGATCACGGTATGCCATTCAAAATACTTCACAATATGCTTATTTTGCAAAGCTGCTAATGTAAAAAAAAAAAAAAAACTGTTAAAGAATTGTGCAACAACATATTGGATTGTGAAGTATTAACAGAAGTATCAATTATGAGAGAGAGAAAGAGAGAGAGAGAGACTATGGGAGTACAAAGTGAAATAGTCATTGACATGTATTATTATAAATAAATGAGTGTGGGGGGGCAGAGAGACAGAGAGAAGGGGAGAAGTACTCAGTGCATGATGGGAGTTCCCCCAGCAGTCTAGACCTATAGCAGCATAACTAAGKGATGGTTCAGGACTCACCTGATCCAGAACTAACTATAGGCTTTATCAAAACGTTTTAACTTTAACTTTAAATGCAGAGATGGTGTCTGCCTCCTGAATCCAGAGTGGGAGCTGGTTCCACAGGAGAGGAGCCTGGTAGCTGAATGCTCTACCTCCTGTTCTACTCTTACAGACTTGGAACCACAAGAGAGCCTGTGTTTTTGTCATGCCCTCCTCCTCACCTGCCTACTAGGCTCTCTCTCTCCCTCTCTCTATCTCTCTGTTGGTGTGTAGGTGCGTGGCTGATTACTGATGTGAACCTGGTGTGCTGGAGTTGGGGCCTTGATTGCCTATATAAGCTCCACTACCGCTCTCAGTCTGCGCCGGACTATACACTCAGTTTAAGTTAGTTATAGCTGCTGCTATTTGTAACTATTAGATTCTGTAAACGTCCTGTTGATCCCGCATCCTAACCTTTCTTGTCTTCCTGCTCAGGACCAGCAGCTGGATTACAGCCCCGACTCCAGTTCCAGAGTCCTGCCTGCCTGCTTAAGCTATTGGACTTTTCCAATAAACCTCAGCGACTTTAAACCTGTCTCAGCCTCTTCCTCTGTGTCCAAGCCCGGCCCTTAACAGTTTTGTGAACAAAGTGATCTATTTGGATAGTACGGTGTTATCAGCTCTTTGATATATGAAGGGGCTTGATTGTTGAGGGCTTTATATGTGAGGAGCAGGATCTTGAATTCTATTCTGAATTTTACAGGGAGCTAATGTAGAGAAGCTAAGACAGGAGTAATATGATTTCTCCTCCTAGTTCCTGTCAGCACTCGTGCTGCAGCATTTTGGACCAACTGGAGACTTTTCACAGACTTCCTGGGGCATCCTGATAATAAAGAGTTACAGTAATCTAATCTAGAGGTAACAAATGCGTGGACTAGTTTATCAGCATCCTTCTGAGATGGGATGTTTCTAATTTTGTTAATATTGCACGGGTGAAAGAAAGCTGTCCTAGAGACTTGTTTTATATGTGGGTGTGACATGTCCTGGTCGAACATAACTCCAAGGTTCCTCACAGTGGAGCTGTGTTTTCCAGCAAACCGTTACTATCTAAGTAATGGCCCTTGGTACAATTATATCCGGCCCACGGTAAAATATCACTGGTCTATCTTAACTGGCCCGTCTGTGCGCAAGGCCCAGCTAGACGACACGGAGCGAGCCCTACTCTCAACTCGCCGAGTGGGAGCAAGGCGGCGGGCACAGGCTCCAGTGGCCGAGCCACGGTGCACA